TGGAAATGAAGATTCTGGGGGGGAGGGTGGGGGTTCTTCGGGTGCTTGCCTCCTGGCGTTTTCTAACTTTCCATCGGCAGCAGTAGAGGGATTTCAGCTATCCAGCCTGACTACGTTTTGGGGCTTAAGGGCAGATTTTATGTCCTGTCCTCCTTCCTGTCTGTTAATTTTAGAGTTGCCTGTGTTGTGGAGAAGAGAGCCTCGCTTTAATATTTTTGAGGATTTAAACCCGCCAGTCTTCAGTGTTGGAATTGCTTTTGGAACTTGATTGCTTTTGCCTTGTGTGTAAATTTCAGAATTAGTAATACAGTAATTCAGTAGTTGAACTCTTTGTTCATGTTTTCTAAATATCTAGAGACTTTAAAAAAGTAGCGATTGCTAGACTTTACATAGTTATGTTGATACTAGGATCCTGAAAAACAGGCTGGTACCGTATGAGTACCAATAACCCACTGATTGTACTCTTTTTAAATGCATTTTATAATACTGAGAATTTAACAGATATGAAAATGTATGTGGCATGTGACCCTTTCAGATTCTGGCTGACCTGTCTTGGTTTCTTTTTCTCAGTATCCTGGTGCTGATCTGTAGTTTTCAGTTGGTCAGTCTTGAGTTATTGATGGCACAAGAAGAAATAAAGTTCTAATTAGGTTTTTCTTGATTACTAAACTTGGTTTATGGTGGTAGGGGTTCTTTTCATTGCAACAGGCGGGGGGGGGGATCCCCCACTTCTGGCCTGTTTTGTAGATAGAGTGTGTCTTGTCATGTAAAAGCTTTTCCATTTGCATCGACATAAGTATGATTGTATTGTATTAAGTAACAGCACTACTGGCAGTCATGACTCAAAAATATTCATTAAGGAAGAATCTTATTTATTCACGTGATACGTGAAAGAATATTCTTCACTGCCTTTTAAAAAAAAAAGCTTCATACCTAAGGGACACTTCATGTGAGGCTGTGGTAATTATAATTATGTGTAGCATCTCTGTATTTAAGGAGAGGAAAAATTGGTGGTTATGAACGGTTGAGAAGTAGCTTTTAAAAATATTATTCAAGACAATACCTTAAAAAAAAACATAGCTAAAGGAAATACTCTTTAAGGCCACCAAAAACATTCCTTAACTATTATAGTTACCCTTAACAGAACAGGTGAACAAAACTAGAATTTCAGGCCATTTTGATAGGGTAATGGTACTTATGAATGAAAGAATGTAAATTTGATTAGAGAGTATTAAGGCAGTTTTAATCATTAGATACTATGCACATTTCATATTTTACTGCAGTATTACACCAGTTAATCATCTGGTGCTGGACTTGGTCCATCTTTTCCACCTAATAATTGAATGCAGCTCTGTTAGACTGGAGGAAATTTGATGGAGTAAGGTCGGTGGAATTCTTGTTCAAAATATAAGAGTTTTGTGACATGTTATTTTTTTCTAAGCCAGGAAATTACGTGGCACATAATTTTGATAAACCCTGAAAGACAAGGACATGCTTTCTCTGCCCAGCAGCATGTTTATTTTATATATTTGTGTGAACTGTCCTTATTGGAGAAAGCTTTGATATTAGATTGGTTAAGAGAAGGAGCTTCAGGGGAGGAAATGTACAGTTTACAATCCTCAAATTAGGGAAGAAATATTGTTGTGCAGAGGATAGTCAGTGAGTTTTATTGGAAATAGTTATCTGTCACTAGACAGCTGAGTAAGAGTGCCACTTGGTTTTAGCACCATCCAGTGAATTAAAGAGTACAAAATTAATGTTTATGGCTTGCTTCATAATAGGAGATTGCCTAGGAGAGAATGCTGAACTGGATCAGCACTAGTTTGTTTGAATTAATGTTTAAATTGCCTAATCTGTCTGTACTTAGGACCCTTAAATCTTGATTAGATTAAAATGCTTGACTGAGAACTTCATGTTTTAGATTTAAGAATCTTGCTTCTTTATTTCTAGACTGTATTTCAAAATAAATCTCCAATGAACTTTTTATATGTTTTCCTGTATAGCTTAACTATATAACTTGTTTACCTACGTTTCTGCACCACCACCCAAAAAACAGCCTTCATTTTGAACTTAGTGTGAAAGATTTGGAAGCTGAGGGTGAAGTATTTTTTAAATACTCATTATATATCTTCCTTCATTTCTCAAATGCATCTTGTTTTTCATTCCATTTATGGTCTGTATGTGTTTTTGGATTAAGGTCAATTAGAGCATCTGGTGGTGGGGCACCTAACTTTTAGTTTGACACAGCACTGCGTTGATTAAATTAATTGTCTTGAAAAGCTACTGTGAACACATTTGCTATTTTTTTCCCCATTGAACAGTTGAAGTTTGCTACGTATTCAGAAACTGTCAGGTGTTCGACACCAAGTTTTGATTCTAGAATTTGCTTTTTAAAGGTTCCCCATCTCTGTTCCCAATATTTACTGAGCTTGCTTGGAATCTAGAACTGTCATGAACTATGCAAGATGATAGGCTTATATTGGTATTCCTGGATCTAGGAAATTGCATCACTAACTGAATACCAGTGAGATACAGCCTGAAATAAACTGCAAAAAACTCTTTCCTGAACAACTTAGTTCATAACAGGAAATACTAGTAGTGCTCTGATTAAAAAGAATAGAACTGATATATATACACACACACACACACACACACACACACACATACATATACACACATATATATAAAAAATGCTTAGATATGTTACAAACCTGAACTAATTGTAAGTCACTCAACTTGGTGCTGAGTAACAAGTGAAACAGGTAAATCTGTAACCTTAACAGAGTAAACCCTAATATCTGATAGTGTGATTAGGGAGATGGATACATTTTTACACCTATCTCCCTTTAGTGGATTATTTTTCTTTTTGGTAATTTTACTAGTTCCTTCCTTAGCAACTCTTTTGTACCATAGTTAAATTCATTGCTCCATTTACTTTTTAAATTTCATTCATATAGAAATATTGCAATAATAGTTCAAAGAGTAGAAAAATAGGATCCACTTATCTTCCCCATTTGTCTTCTCAGAAAGTGACATCACTGTTCACCCAGTTGCTTAAACTAGGAACCCAGAAATTCATGCCCAATTCTTGTTTCTCCTTACACCCCTCACCCCATTCAATTTATCCACAAGCCTTCGCAATACTGCCTCAAACATTCTGCCTCTCCATCTCTCTCTGTCATATCACAGCACAGACCATCCCTATCTCTTACCTGGACTGCACAGCAGCTTCCCTATTATTTAGCTGGTTTCTACTTTTATTTCTCTATGGGTTCATTCTCCACTTAGATACCAGAGTTATCATTTTGTTTTGTTGTGTAAAACCCTTCAATGACTTTCTGTTGTACTTAAAAACAAAATATAAATCCACGTATGATCAGTACCTTTCTACCTGTATTTCACATAATTATTTCCTTTCATTTTCTTCAGCTGTTTGGTATTATTTATTTATTTACTTTATGTTTTCATTGATTTCATAGAAAGGAAGGGAGAGGTAGAGAGAAACATCAGTGGTGAGAGCGAATTTATCGGCTGCCTCCTGCTCACTTCCTACTGGGGATCTAGCCTGAAACCCTGGCATGTTCCCTGACTGGAATCACTCAATCATCAGGCCACACTGGCCGGGCTGTTCAGTCTTTTAGTATCTTTTTTTTTTTTTTAATGCACTTTTCTCTCTATCTGAAACACTCTTTGTCCAGCCTTTTTGCACACCTGGCTGGCTTCTCAGTCTTTAAGTCTCAAATGTCAGTTCCTTCCTGGAATCAACATTCTGTTCAGAATTGTATCCCACTTAATTCTTTATTACAGAACCCTTTTTTCTGTATTCAGAACACATCAATTTAATTTTTTAGTCTGTTTTCCCCAGTAATACGTATATTTAAGGGCTAGGAGAGACAGAATTTCTTTGTTATAAATAACAGCTTTTTTCATAGTTCAGATATTCAGCATTCGTGGCTAAATTAACTGAAATTCGGGGCTCCACTAAAATGGAGTTGCCAGGCCAAGAAGCAGCTGACTGTTTGGTGTCCTTTGAAGAAAAGTCCCTTACAGCTTTGGATATTTGTTCTAACAGTATTGGTAATCTAGATGCAAGGAACATGTGGTTATTAATGCTCTTTTATATTTAAGTTTATGTCCCTTAAAATTTGTTTGGTTGAAGCTCTCTTAATTCTTGAGGACTGTGACTTACCCAAATCCTCAAATAGAAATTCAATTCTATCATTTTATTTACAGAATATACTGATGATAATGCTCTAATTCCTAAGAATTCATCTGTAATTGTTAGAAGAATTCCTATTGGAGGTGTTAAATCTACAAGCAAGACGTATGTTATGTAAGTATCAAATTTCATGTATTTAAGTTCTCAAAATAATAGACTTTTTTTTTGTTTGAGAACCAGGGATTTTTTTCGAACCAGACTCTTATATCTCAATCATTAAAACTGAAGATGGGTTTGTTTTTTCCTGATTTCTTCCCCCAGGTAGGTTGATTTAACCCATAGTTAGGAGTAAGCGCTATTGGGAAGAATTTTTGTTTTCTACAGGCAATATGTAGAAAAACAAGAAACTGATGTTCAAATAGTGAACAGATATTTTTGTACCCTTTGTTTTTATTTGTCTCTACACTTTCTTTTTTCCCCCTACTGTTAAAAAAACCTATATCAGTTTCTTAAGAGGTCTGCCCTAAATATTTTGACAGCATCAGGAGTATTCAGTAATGCGAGCATTTTCTCCTCATCAGAGATGGGGTTTATTGGGAGGCTAGAGAGTTTATAGGATTTATGAGCAGACGCTGGAATCAGACTTAGGTTTGACTCCACTTACTGCTTCACACTAATTGTGCAACTTTGGGTAAGCTTCCTAAAGTCTGTGCCTTAGAGTCCTCAAAATGAAATAGGGATGTGAATAAACAGTGCCTGGTGTACATGGCAAATGGCCATTTTGGGGTAAGAAAACAGCAGTATCTTAGGAATAGTCTAGAGCTTAGAAATTCACTAAAGGGGGAAGGGTTAACATTTTATATCTCCAACTTTCTTGGAATTTTAATGGTGATATCAGAGTCATAATATGTGAAAAGGGTAGCAACTTAGGCTATTTATTTATTTTTATTTATTTTTAAGATTTTTATTGATTTTTAAAGCGAGGAAAGGACAGAGAGAGAGAGAGAGAGAAACATCTATCTGCTGCCTCCTGCTTGTGGTCTACCAGAAGTAGAGCCGGAACCTTTCGGTGCACCAGCCAGTGCCCAGCCAGCTGAGCCACACTGGCCAGGGCACAACTTAGACTATTTTTTTAAAAGAACAGTGATTTCCCCCTTAGAAGTTAGCCTTATTTAAAATTTTGGCAAATTCTGGTTTTGGTTAGTGAAATATTCTGGAATTTGCTAATTTGTCAGTCCTAGGAAATGGAATGTGTTCTTGCAATTGGGGTACAGTCATTTCTTAGAGCTTTACCTCGTGCAGGCAAGTATTCATTCTTACAGATTATGCTCATTGTTTCTGTAAAGTTGTATTCCATATCTTAACATGTGGAGGTCCTTTTATATAATATCTTCTGTAAAGTAACAACTTAAAAAAGCCGGATACTTTTGCTATAAATGCCAAGTGGACTATGTGCTTTTAAGAAATTATAAGGAAAAAATTAATTTGTAGAATCTAGTGAAATTCACTTTAATTTACCAAGTGTCTTTTAAATACATCAAGTTTCAGATTTTTTTGATATTCAGAAACTCTTGGGGAACTATTTGAAGTACATGGGAAAGTTGGCTGTTAGAGAATTGCATGTTAATTCACCATGGGTATGATTTCCTTTGTAATATATTTGCTTCATAAAATGCTTCTTGAGTTTGTTGAGTAAATATCAGAAAATGAAAACTTTATTTTTATCTCAGAACTTTTAAATTATGCACAAACTTAGAAACTCCTTTCAGATTCTAACATTTCTGTATCATCAAGACAGCATAAACTTAAAACTAAAACTAAGCATTTAAAGGCTATATTTAACAATTCAGTCTCTGGCCTGTTTCCTATGAGGCCTTTAAAGGAATTTCTTTTGGGGCTTATTTGTGTGCTCTTTAAAAATCAATTTGTCCCAGTTATCCATAACCCTTCAACTCATTCTTTTTACTAAAATACTCTGCCAAACTATGTTGTATTTTTCTGGAAGTTAGAATTCTTGTTTAATCTTTAGTCATTGTTTTGAGACTTTTTAAAAAATTACAACTATCCAGTAGTACATAAACTTAAAAGCAACTTCAGGCCCTGCCGGTGTGGCAGTGGGTGAGCATCAACCTATGAACCAGGAGGTCATGGTTCAATTCCTGGTCAGGGCACATGCCTGCTCTGCAGGCTTGATCCCCATACGGGGCATGCAGGAGCCAGCCGATTAATGACTCATCATTGATGTTTCTCTCTCCCTCTTCTTCTCCCTCCCTCTCTGAAATCAATAAAAACATTTTTAAAAAAACAAAACAAACAACTTCAGTATCAAGAAAGTGTTTTTTAAATTTAAAAATTAAAGTAACCATCAACCTTGCTTTCTGGATTTGAAATCTAGTTTTTGGAGCACAGCAATTTCTCAGGGACCCAAGTTATAAATGTTAACGGTTGTCTTGCTTTAAGAAGATCTGATATATGAAAATTTTCATCTGTACCTATTAAAAACTAGGGGGAAGTTTTAATTGTTCAGTCTGTTAACAATAGCTGTATGAGCTAATGTTGTTTTTGTTTTTGTTTTTTAGAAGTCGAACTGAACCAGTGATGGGAACTTCAAAAGCAGTATGTAAAAACACAATCTCACACTTTTTCTACACATTGCTTTTACCTTTATAATGTAGCAGTGAAGTAAATCATTTTAGAACTTAATATCCAATTGGTCATAGTACATATTGTAAATAAAATGTATTTTGATGACAGCTCAGTTGAATTTGGATATATGTGGCATAATTTGCACACTTATTTTGTAGAAATGGGTGATTTGTGCCCAAAAAACACTGTTTCATATCAAATGATAGCAACCCTGTATGACACTGTGTTGTACAGTTAATGTGTGATCCTTTTTAGGCCATGTAGGTTCTACACTAATGAACATGATAACATGTTCTATATCTGTCTGTCTATAGCTAGTATTTTGTATGTATGTACAGGCTGTTGTGTGCTTTTTGTTTCTTGCAATAAAAAAATGTTTGGAGTGTATATTTTGCCATTTTCACATTGTATCACTTAGTTTTTGTTAGATTTTTTTTTCTGCCTGATGGATGGCTTTGAAAAGTGCATTAGCAACATGCGAAGCTCATATTAAAGTGTGATGCTTTCTCCAAGTTCAGACACATCTAGAGGAAAGCTTTCCAGAGACCACTGGGGCAGCCTTCTTACTGAGTTTTGCTTCATTTGGCAGTTTTGAGCTGCTGCTCTTTGTTTCTGCCCGTACTACAAAGTGAAACCTGAAATTGGGCCCCTACCAGCGTATCACAATTGAGTACATTGTTTTCAAATTTTAATACACGGTCTTTCAGTTCCAGTCTGCTCAGTGTCCAAATTAAAATATTTCCCTTTCTCATAAAATAGTAAATTGCATCAATTGTAAGCTAATTGAGAGCTGTAGTTTATCAAAGGTAACTGCCCTTAACCTGGGTAACGTCTTAATTTTGTCACAGATTAACCGGAAGTACGGCACCATTTTGACTTTGAGCTAATAATTAGTAGCATTCCTCAGTTGTGGAGTGAAGCATCTGTTTCCAAACACAGGTCTGCAGTGACCGGATTCTGTACACTGGATGGTTCTCTAAACATTTGACTGCTCAGGCTGATTTGCACACAGGGTGTCTGAAACCCTCACGTAGAATTCAGGGGTACTGCTTGCGTTCCGCTGTATCCTTTTCAAGTACTGGTCTCGAATTGTGTACCAGGCGTTTCACTAACCATGGGTCGTTGAATCTTAAACATGATAACATAGAAAATCTGAACTTTGGACTTGTTCTCTAAAGTATATATGGCCTTTAGTTCCCATGGAACTAAATTCAGTGATTCCAAACTCATAGTGTTTGGTGTCCCCACCCCCCTCTTTTGGGGTATATGGGTTTTTGTTTTTGCTTTTTTAAGCATAATGCTGTAAAAACTGTCCAAGTTTCTGTTTTGCCGGTGATTGGTTTAAACCTGATTTTTATGTATCCAAATGCTAGCACAAAATAGATGACTATCCTGGTGACTGTAGTAGCTAATGTAACACATTTTGTATAAAGTACATTTTATATAGTATTTAAACTAATTCAGATGAAGTTTTATTTCTTGAAAACAGTTATTTCCTTTTTGTTTATTAGCATGTGTATAAACACAAATCACATGTTCATAAATAAAGTTAACATTCTTTTAGCCTTGTGTGTTCCCTGGCATGTCTGTATTACACTTATAAGAAGCAGTTTATTTTATGCTTATTTAGGTTTCTCTTTTCTTTTTTCTTTTCTTTTTTCTTTTTTTTTTTTTTAGTACTTTCAAAGTGGCTTTAATTTTTAGGTAGAATTATCTGGAGACATTAGATAACAATATTCCTGTCATTTATTTGCTTGGGGTACATTTGCTGACATTTAGGATAAGAAGAGCTTCATCAAGCGTAATTTGTTCCCATCTTTAGGAGACTTAAGAATCACGTGTGATGTACACATTCACAAAAGCCAAGTAAGATAAAGTCACTAAACCAGGTTTTTAAGTTCTGATTAGTACAGGTGAATGTATGTACATTTTGGTAACTTGGCCATCTCTAATCAAAGATGGCTATTTCTGTCTGTTCTCCTCAGCTTTGTTTATTTAGTTGTCCTTCCATGTTGAGACTCCAAAACTGGGTACTCTTCCTACTGACTGAACATCAGAATTACATTGTGTAGGGTCCTTTAGTTTCAAGCAAGTATATTCGGCATTAAAGATTTTAGATTCTTGCTCCCGGAAGCAAGACTGCAAATTAGATGTGGCGAGGTCTCTTAATTTAATGTCCACAGTGTGCATTGATTGTTGTTTTGAAGACTGCTTTTTTATCAATAGTATCTCAGAGTTATTTATTGATGTTTAGTACATATAAATTTCAAGTCATTTTTAAACCACTCCTTGTCAGCAGTTTTCACTTCTCGTACCTTGCTATATCTAGAAAACAATTAGATGGCCTTCTAAATTTGTGGTACATTTGACTTCCTTGTGGATTAGGAAGTATTTAGGTGCTATGATGATGATTTGGTGGGAAAAAGTTATTTAGATGCCACTGAATATCTGAAACCACTTTCAACCCAATAAATTCACAGTACTATTAACAGGTTGGCAGAAGGCTAAAAAGAAAGGACAAGAAAGCCTGGCATAAGAACAAAAAGCTATATTTTAAATGTTAGGAATGGGAAGAACAAAAATGTTAGTATTTTAGTTGCAGCGGTAAGAAAGTTAACATAACTGAATACTTTCTAAGGAAATGATCAGTATAATATTCTAGGTAGTGATGGGCAGCTTTTAAAGGCTATTTGTTTCATTGGTTAGAAGCATAATATATAGATGATGGCTGACAGCAATTCATTCAGTTCTTGTTATTTAAATTCAAGTAATTCCTGGTTGGTGTAAAATGTAACCCTCTTTAAAATAGATTGACCAAGTCAACTTATTCTGGCTAAAAATAGGATATTGTAAATTCTTTCAAAAAATTTTTAATTTACCACTTGAGATTAGTTCTTTTAGGAAAGAAAACTTCAGAGCTGGGCAAGAGTGAGAACTCAGTGGTGAATTATATAGTTGTGTATTAGGAATGTGGGATTCATGCATTATGAACTCTAGAGTCCCTCAGTGTAGAGCTAAGAACTTTTTGTTTAAGCATCTCAGTAATAATAGTCATCAAACTAACTTTTAAAATCCTAAGATATTTATAAAATGTGTTTTAAAATTAGCCAACATTATTTTTATTTTAATATATTGAATTCCTACCATGGTGAGCACTGTGCTAAGAACTTCATATAGGAACTTCTTACATTTCTGTTTGGGACTCTTAAAATCATGCAGCTTTTAATACTCTTGAGTTCTCTGGAATACTTGAAAATACCTGATGAAGACTCACTTCTTTTGGGGTTTTTTTGTTGTTGGGTTTTTTTTCTCTTTGATTCAGACATCTTGTTACATTCTCCATTTTAAACTAGAGTTATGACCAATAATGCATGAGAGAATTATAACATGCTCCTAACTACGTAGGAAGCTAATGTTTTCATTTGGGCACGCCTGTAGGGAAATCGTATCTTCACAGTTACATGCTAAAGATATATGTGTGTGTGATTACATATATGCACATACATATACACTTTAAAAACTGATATTAAAATCATGTCAGGGGACCAAGTAATGAAAAACTTAATGTCACATTTGAAAAACACATTTATTAAAGCCCCCTTAGGTTTTTCATTTATAATACTTGCTCATTGGATTAACTTTCTTTTCTCCACACATTAAAGTCATCCTCATATGTACCAGTTGTTTGCCCTTGCCCCAGGGCACCTTGTCTCCCCCCATCCCTTTTGTTTGGCTTAACATCTTTGCCCTGATAAAGCTGTGGTTTCTTTGTCAAGAAGCTATTATTACTCTGTATGGGCAAATAAACTACTCAGATTGAACAGTATATGCTAAAAAAAAAAGAAAAAGTCACAATTATGTGGGAGTTGTTTTATAAAGATTATCTGAGCCTTTAAAGAGCTGCGCGTTTTACAATTTACATAATGGCATTCCAAGAAAGATTTCTTGCTCTCCCAGTGTCCATTGTCTTAAGCATCATCAAATTTAGAGACTGTTCACAGACACTGGACTCTTATTTAGCATTTAGTCACCATTCTGAACAGAGTGCCTGTGTGATACACTTTTCCTTACCCCGTTTTCCCATTGTGATTGAGCCCCCCTCAACTGTTAGCCTTTATTACTGTTATGTGAAATATGTAGGAAAAGATAAGGGGGGGTAAGCTACACTTTCAGCTTGAAAACATTTTTTAGAAAATAACATTCTTTAGAAAATTTCTAAGAAAATGCCCAATATTTAAACATTAAGTGGCATAGGAACTAAATGATCACTTTCAGATGTTTTCAGTGTGGAACTTGAATGTGTGTTTAATTTTTTGTGAACAGATTGATGACTCTTCTGCATCTATTTCTCTGGCCCAGCTTACAAAGGTATATATATACATATATTCTTGAAAATATTAATATTTTTCTAACATATTTTTATGTGGAACAGTTGTTTTGGAGGGGTTGGGGGAGGAGATGTTTTGCAAAAACATTGTATATATTGTTACTATCCTGTAAAGAGTAGTGGTTTTGAGAAGATAGGGGGAGTATTTTGTCAGCTTCACCATAACGTTTGGAGTATTTTCATCTTCAAGACAGAAGAAGCACAATGAAGCTACACATACTTTTTTTCCTTCATATATTTTATTTAGTTAGACATTGGAAACTAACAAAGTTCTGGAGGAATTCCCTGGTTTTGGCTGTAAATTATGTGGACTTTTCTTTAAGCAGCCAAATAGAAGCTTTCCTTTGCACCGACGATTGTGTGGTTCTTTCTTGAATATTTGAGTTGAACCCTTGAAGGTCAATATATTAAATGTGATACAGTTGCTTCTTTATACTGTAGACTTGTAGTCTGTCTGCATTAGAAAAGTTTTAAACAACCTAATTTGTTTGAACACAGACTACATGAATTGTGTAACTGTAAAAGGTGTTTGCAGGAATATACCAATGTGTATGTTTGGCAAAGGGGCAAATTGTTACCTCCTGACGTTGTATATGCCATGTTTTGCTATAAGATTGCTTACATTTTCTGCTCAACAGTGTGTACTTTTTATTGGGGAAAGCACTAGTGATGGACTACTTTTTAAAACAATAGATTTAGCTTGAAAATCATGCCTTTAAAAAAAGGCAAATATTACAGAATAGGCAGATTTTTGAGGGCCAAATAGGAATTTTTCCAAAAATCTTTTTCCTACTATTAGAAATGTAAAACAAAATTTAGCAACCAAGATTAATGAGTTGATGAGTTTTCCATTGGTGCTGTCCTTCTTTCCTTGGCTTTGTTACAGGTCGTGTCCTTTCCCCCTAGAATGTACCCCCAAAAATGTCCTAGTTACAAATACAGCTTTTAAGTTCCTGTTCTGGGAAAACTAAACATTAAAATTGATGACTCTAAAACATAAAGTGGGCTAAAACCATCCTCTCGTAAGTTCCTAATACAAAGTGGTTTAGCACAGAGTTAACATCATGAGCAGCTTTACTGTTTTAATTCTTTTGTATTGTAAGGACCATATTTGATTTTGGATCTTTCCTACCATTGTTTCTTGCTGGGGAGTTTTGGAGGTTTGGGGGATTTTTTAACTATTTGTAAATTAATGTTTGGGTTCAAACAAATTAGTTGTTCAACCTGTAATCCAGTTTTCTGTAAATGTTGCTGTTGTTCTAAGCTCTGTTAATGTTAAGCATTCTTTGTATATAAAATTACAATAAAATGTTAAAACTGGTTGCTTGTTTTGTGAATGAATGTAAAGATAAAAACCCAATGAATGACTGATATGAGTGCTAGATGTCTGAAGATTCAAGTTATTGGAACTCACTCCCTTAGACCCTGCTTATATCTAGACTTGTATGTGCCTTAAAGGTGAAGTTCATAAAAGTTTGGAGAGTTGGATTTAAAATTATGAACACTCATTGTATGTGCTTTGTCTTAATTTGAAACTGGCACCGATCCCTAAAGAGCCTTCTGATTTCTAATATTAGTTACATAATGTGTTCAATTATTCTACCCCCAACCCTGCCTCCTAATTGTAAGTGTAAATTATAGTCTTAATGCTTTGACACTTGAATTAATTTTAAGGTTGAAAAACATCAAGTGTTTCTAAACTTAATCTCAGTCTTTAACTCTTAAGAGTAGTGTGCAAATCTTAACACAAGGTACAAACAGGGTCTAAGGTTTGAGTGTTGTCCGAAACACTCTCCAGCCCCGCAGACACGAACACCTAGGGAACTCCGGTGCTGCCTCTGGGTTTTATGTGTAAATAGCTGTTTTTATGCGAGATTAGATACTGCTCTTTACAGGATGAGTGGTGTTGTCTTTGGCTGTGTGGTCTTAAATGTGTTTCTAATGTGTGTGTCAAATAATTACCTGTTAAACAGACTGCCAATCTGGCTGAAGCCAATGCTTCTGAAGAAGATAAAATTAAAGCGATGATGTCGCAATCTGGCCATGAATACGACCCGGTCAAGTAAGTTCATGCCGATAGGGACCTGGGGTGGGTTCTCCCCTGTCGGAAGCATTGCTTTTCAAGTCTTTGTGTGCATGTAATTTCTTCTCCCTTCCAGTT